GGTGTTTGAATCACTGACCTTGTGATTCAAAATGCCTTGCAGTCAAGTGCTAATGGCGTTGTGGTTACGAATTGGGCTGCTAACCTCAAGGTCAGCAGTTTGAAACTATCAGCTGTTCTGTGGGAGAAAGATGAGGATTTCTGCAGCCTCAGAAACCCTGTGCAAGGTCACTATGAGTGGGAACCAACTCCAAGGTACTTAACAACAACACCAACAAATGGTTTGCTGTAGAGCCAGTTCTGATTCATTGTTGTTGTTGTGTGCCATCGAGTCGGTTCCGACCCATAGCGACCCTGTATAGGGTTTCCAAGGGTGTAAATCTTTACGGGAGTAGAAAGCCTCATCTTTCTCCCGCGGAGCGGCTGGTAGTTTCGAACCGCTGACCTTAAGGTTCGCAGCCCGATTCGTAACCACTACGCTACCAGAGCTCCAGTTCTGATTCATAACGACCCTAAATTAGGTTTCTGAGACTGTAAATTTTTACAGGAGCAGAAAGCCTTATCTTTCTCCTGAGGAACAGCTGGTAATTTTGAACTGCTAACCTCGAGGTTAGCAGCCCGACTCGGAACAGCTGGTAGTTTCGAACTGCTGACCTTGCCGCTCACAGCCTGATTCGTAACCACTACACTACTAGAGCTCCTTTAACTCAGATATGTTGTTGTTAAGTGCCGTCAAGTCGGTTCCGACCCATAGGGTTTAGGGTTTACCAGGATCGGCTGGTGATCTTGAACTGCTGACCTTGCAGTTCAAACCAACTTTGCAGTCCAGTCCATTAACCCACAGTGCCACAACAGGACTCCTACACTACTCTTTTTACTTTGTGGTTGACTTCATTATAAATTGGTACCTCTGGTGCCTATTATCAGTGTTGTAGGCAATAGTGCAGGTACAGAGCTTCCAAATGGCTTGGAAGTCAAGTAGATATCAAGATAAAACAGATTGTTTTAAATAAGGAAAACAGCAATAAATTACAGGGTGACCTCAAAGAAATTTAATATACTTGCACATCAAAATAAAGGAAAACCAGAAAAATTTAGTCAACAGTAGCACAACAGAAATGAAAAGACAACTCACAAACAAAATGAATTCAGCATAGAAAATGATGAGGAACAAGGAAACCAGCAGCACCACAAAAAAAAGCACACAGCAAAATGACAGCAATCAATTCATACCTAGTGATAATTGCACTGAATGCAAATAGATTAAATCTTGCACCAGTCAAGGGATAGAACAAAATAAATAAGAAAACAGGATCCTTCAATATGTTGTCAACAAGAGACACATCAAAAAGACAGAGCCTAAATGCCCATCAACAGAGAATGGATAAACAAACTTTGGTACATACATTCAACAGAACACTATGCAATTTTGAAGAATAACAATGAATCTGCAAAACACCTCACAACATAGATGTACCTGGAGGACATTATGCTGAGTGAAAACAGTCAATAACAAAAGGACAAATATTGTATGAGAACAATGTTGTAAATAGTTAAGAAAAGGTTTTCTGAATAAAAGAAACCATCAGTGATGGTTATGTGGGAGAAGGAAAAGCAATTCACAGACTAGAGAGCAGACATGGCACTATAGGATAAGCACTGGACTGCAAGGGCGGTTTGAATCAAAATCCACTAGCTGTTCCTCAGAACCCTATACAGCATTACTATGAGTCAGAACCTATTTGACAGCATGTAATCACAACAACAACAGACGGTAGACAGACACGTTAACATGAGTGACAGGGTGGGCAATACACATTAAGAGGGAGGATGTCAGAGGAAAGATGAAGGTTAGTTAAAGTGAACAGAGGCAAATGCTGTTAACTGTTGGTACATGGAGGGGATTGTAGCCATGTAATGATGCAAAGTAGATGATTTGTTGAATGTAAAACTAATGATCTGCTCTGTAAACCTTCTCTCAATTCACAATAAAAAGTTTTTAAAAACCACAATGATATACCACTTCATACCTACTAAATCAAAAACCTGAACCCAGTGCTATTCAGTAGATTCTGACTCATTGTAACCATGTATGGGGTTTCTGAAGCAGCTGGTGTGTTTGAATTGCCAATCTTGCAGTTACCAGTCCAATGCTTCTCCTACAACACCATATCAGGGCTCTGAGATTATAAATATTTATAGGTTAAAAAGCTTTATCTTTCTCCCATGGGGCCATGATAGGTTTGAACCACCAACTGAGATTAGCAGCCCAACACCTAACCTACAGCTCCACCACACCAACTTGTAATCAAAGACAGATGATTACAAATGTTGGAGAAGATATAGAAAAACTGGAATCCTCATATGCTACTGGTGGAAATGTCAAATGGTCGGGTACTGTGGAAAATAGCTTGGCAAGTCCTCAAGAGACAAACACAGAGTTAGCATGTTGACTGAGACTAACATACATGGCAATATCACCTAGACTCAACCCAGACGTTGTTGTTGTTAAGTGCTGTTGAGTCAATTCCAACTCACAGTGACCCTGTATAGGGTTTCCGAAGAGCAGCTGGTGGGTTTGAACTGCAGATCTTGTGGTTCACAGTCCAGTGCTGACCCTACAGTGCAACACCAGGAGCCCACCCTAGATATATAAGTATTCAAAGAAAAACAGACCTACGAGACTGAAAATAGAGAACCAGAGATAGCAGTTTGCAACAACAACCCACAAAGTAAACAAAAAAACCCATAAAGTTAAAAGAGGGAATAATGTAGTAATAGAACTTCTAAATGTTACAAGTGAATTTTGAGAAAAAAATAACATTAAAAAAAAAGCCTAAGTGCAGCAATGAAGATAAGGGCTGAGTTTGACCATGTTCCACAGATTCCCATCGACCTGGAGATGACAGAAGAGGAAGAGCTGGTTGGTCCAAAGTGTGGTGAGACCTGGGGACTCCTGAGCCCATGGATGAGGACATAGCCATGGAGGACTCGAGCTGAAAGAGAAGCATCCAGCTGATATGAAGTGAGGGGAGATGCACAAAAATGCCCAAACTTGTTGATAGTACCCATTCGACCTAGCTTTGATGGCTTGATGATAAGAACTCAACTAGAGGAAGATTTAAAAAAAAAAAAAAAAATTTTTTTTGATAAAGGAAACAAGTATAAATTGCTACAATTTGATGAACTTGACCTATACATATGGATATAGTAGTTCAAAATACCAACGGAGAGGGAAAGAGTCTTCACATCAAATATCAATCCTATCCCCTTTGTATAGGATTGGGCAACTTAAGACATTGGGTTGATAGGGACAGGCAACTTAGACACTGGCTACCTAAATGGGGAGGGGAGGGCTAAAAAGGCACAAAGTGACTGGCTTACAAGTTTTCAAGAGAGAGTTTAGTTTTGAGTGTGCAAGGAAAGGCAGAATCCCCACTGAATAGTTTTTATCATGTCTAGATGGCTCTGGTGAAAGGCAATGGGGATAAGATTCTTATGACTCAATAGTGAGTAATTGTTATCATGACTAATTGAGGCCATCACAACTATAAAGGTAGACGTTTTGTACACAAAAAGGGGGGAGTAGTTAATCTTACAATCCAGGAACAGAGAGGACCCTAGGACCATCAAGGGAGAAGAACATGAGCAGAAAGTGGGACCCTATCCAGAGAAGCTGCAACACCATATATGGAAACAGAGATGAGGACATGGCGAGAGAGAGCAGCTGAGGACTCAAGAGACATGGGAAAAGAGGAGCTGGGTGCTGGTGGCCAGCAGGCAGGCTTGCTGAATGTGCCCTTTGGTTGTTTAAATTATAGGTTAATGAGTGTTTTTGTGTACATTCCCCTCCTCAAAACAAAAAAAAACAGAGGGAATAGAAGCAAATACTGTTGAATAATGATACATGGAGATTGTAATAATTGCAATGAAACGATGAGTGTAAAACTGATGTTCTCCCATGTAAACTATCACTCAATTCACAATAAAAACTTAAAAAAAACAAAAAAAGCTGAACTATAATCCTAAAAACAGACCAAGCCTTACTCCTAGACCCAGCCCAGCACCTATCCTATCACTAACCCAAGCCCTAACCATGATCCTAACACTAAATGAAGTAGTACACCTTGCATAGATCTAACCATAGTCCTAATCTTAATTCTTTACTCCTACCCACCCCACCCACCCATCATCCCCCCAAATAAAAATAATGAATATTAAAAAAATATTTTAAAAACAGGACCTGAGTTTCCCAGCCAGAATAACTGATCCTCTCATCCCAAACTGGCCCTGCTTTTCCACCTCCACCCTGCCCATCCACCCAGCATCGGCCTCCTTGTCTCACTTAGTCTCCAGCAACACCTCATAGTCAACCTGATCATCTGCTCAGGATGGTCTAACAGCAAATTATAATACCTCTGTCTTGGCCTCTGGGCCCAGCATATTATTTCAACACTTCTTTCCCTAATACCCACAGCGCCCAGGCCTGTATGGGTGCTAGGCAAAGCTCTGGCATATTGCCCTGGTAGAGACTCTACTGAGGGTAACCAATGCTAGGAAAACGAAGGGCTCAACATACGCAGGTATCCAACTCCAGGAATGCCATCTGGGCAGCCTTGCTGCAGAGATGCAAAGGAGAAGAGTGGGCAGCCAGAGCACCCAGCCAGGGGAAGCAGAAGCTAAGTGGCTGGGAGCAGCTCGGAGGCAACAGGGCAGGAGTGCTGAGACCAAGTTGGGGGAGATGAGGTCAGACAAGCAGAGGGGCAAATCCGGTGGTTCGGTGGCTACTGGGGGCTGAGTAAAGGGGAGGGGGTTCTGGAGGAGAGCAGGCTGGGACCAAGGTCTTAAACGGGCCACTCTGGCTGGCTGCTGTGTAGACACTCTAGGGGAGGCAGGGAACAGGGATCAGTGAAATGACCCCCCTGGGTAGCTCTGAGCATTGTGAAAATGGACAGGCCACAGCCAGAGGCCAGCACAGAGACAATATAGTTACTCATTTCCATTCAGGATGTGTTTCCACCAGGCCTGCTGTATGCTCGGAGACACAGGATGCACACATACCTTCCTTGGCACACGCCAGGCCGCCAGATCCTCCACCAATCACCAGGAGGTCATAGTCCCGCTGCCCTGCAGGGAAGAAGGATGAGAGGAAGGAAACGAGCAACAAGGCTGGTACCCAGGTTCCAGAAGGGGCCAGGTGACTTCCAAAAGGCAAGCATCAACAATGTCCTATGTTGTTGCTATTGTCAGCAGGCACTGATTCGGCCCCCGACTCATGACACCACCAACCACAATGAGGTAAAATGTGCTTTTGGTCCTGTGCCACCCCCATAATCAGTTGCAGATAGGACCTTTGTGATCCATAGGGTGTATACTGGCTGGTTTTTGGAAGTAGAGCAGCAGGCCTTTGTCTGGAAGCGCCATTGAAACCTGTTCATGCTCATAGCAACATGAGGGGACTGCACCTGAGACACATCGGCTGGGAATCAAACTGGGGGTCTGCATAGAAGGTGAAGATTCTGCCAGTATGCCACCACTGCCCCCTAAATGTTATATAACCCACAGTTATCAAATCACTTCTGACTCACAGTGATCTTATTGGGCACAGCATAACTGCTCCTTGGGATTTCTGAGACTGGACATCTTTATAGGAGGTGCCAGCTAGTAGATTCAACCGCTGACCTTGTGGTTAGCAGCCCAATGTTTAATCCACTGAACCACCCAAACCAAAAACTCAAACCCACTGCCATTGAGTCTGTTCTTACTCATACTGAGACATGGTACAAGTGGGGGAACACACTGCCCAGGTGAGGAGGCACTCCATGGCACACTGGCCTCCTGGGACAAGTCACCTTATGCACTGTTCTCCTGGCCCACACTCTTTCCTGGCAGGAGGTGTCAGGGGGGCAGGTGATACCAATAACCCTAACCCTAACCCTCTCGTTCGGCAAGAATCAGCTGTCCCTGAGGTTGTTCTCCTGTCCCCAGAGAAGCTGTGGGGCTCAACTGCATAAGGCTGCAACTTGGACATTCTCATTGTGGGTTAGCATTCTTCATTGCCTGCAGCCAAGTTCTAACCTGGGAGTTTCCCTCACTGCCAGCCCACCTGATGCTGTATGGAATAGAGTTGCTGAGAATGTAAATCTTTATGGGAGCAGGCAGTCTCATCTTTCTCCTAAGGAGTGACTGGTGGGTTCGAATCACACTTTGAGGTTAGCAGCCTAATGACTAGCTCACAGCACCACCAGGGTTCCTTAAACTTTATTTGTTGTTGTTGTTAAGTGCCATACAGTCAGCTCATATTCATAGCAACCCTGTATAGGGTTTCTGAGGAGTGGCTGGTGAATTTGAGCCGCCAACTTAGTGCCAGCAGTCCAGTGCTTATCCTACAGTGTCAGATACATTTTATCTAGACAAGTCACCCAGCCCACGACTATCTGATTGCTAATGATCACACACTGAGGCAGACGGCCGCTCTTAACCTGACCATCTGTCCAAATCCAGAGAACAAGGCGTATGGGGTGGGAGGTGGGTGTCCACAGGCCCATGGAGCTCATCTGCACCCCTAGCCTTGTCTAGAGGAAGAGACTGTGACTAGCAGGAGAGCTCAGAACTCTAAATCCAGCAAGTGGCACAGGCAGACACAGAATCAAGACACAGATGAGAGCACGTGTCTTCCTGAAGCCATGTTTTTTGGTTGCAAAGGTTATTCTTCATCATCGGAGAGTGAGGAGACAGGGTGCACACAGCAAGCCGTTCTATTCTCCTGGTGGATGCAGCAGCTCAGATGAGGCCAAACTGGAGGGGAGACTGGGGATGGATGATGACTCTAAGGAAGAGAGATCTGTCCCCACCCTGGTTTCCTTCTGTGTCTCCCCAATTCCTTAGACAGCCTGTTTCCTCCTGTGTTTTTGTATTTCCTGAAGAAAGGGCCACTTGTTGCTATACTGTAAGCTACTAGCATAGAAGGAGGCATAAAATGGGAGGTAAGGGACAAAAGCAGGGGGGAAGAGGTAAGGAGAAAGGTAGCCAGAAGAGGTTTAGAGAGGGAGCTGGGAGGGGTGAGGGAGGCGGGGTGAAGGAGGGAGGCAAAGAGGGATGAAGTTAGTGAGAGTTAGTGAGGGAAGGAGGGGTGAGCAGAGGGAAAGAAGGAGAGAGGGGAAGAGGCAGAGGGAGGTCAAGAAGGTATGTTCCTAGGTGCGGCAAGCCTGCCACTGGTCTAATCAAGGGGCCCAGGGTCTGGACATCCAGTAGAGCCGCCTACTTCCTGGGGAAGAATGGGCAGACTAACAGAAAATTGCCAGGAAAGGTGGTCTAGATGGTCACTACAATCAACTGCTAACCAAAAGGTTAGAGGTTCAGGCCCGCCCATAGGCACCGTGGACAAAAGGCCTGGTAATCTACTCCCAAAAGATCCCAGCCACTAAATGCCCCATGGCACACAGCTCTCTTTGACCCACGAGGAGTCAGAGTTGACTTGGTGACCACTGGTGATGTTGATGACTATTATGAGGATGGGGAGAAGGGGGCACAGATGGGGTGGGGGCATGGATAGCTGGCCAGGATCTAGGATATACAACATGGCATGAGCCTGTTGTCCTCCCAGGGCATCAGGCTGCATGCTGCAGGCACACACAAGGCAACAAGAAATTCTGCTACCCCCACATACACAGTGCATGCCAGGCCCCAGTGACCTGGGGTCCTCCCCATGCCAGCAGGACAGCCCAGAGTTTGTCACTGAGAAGGCTGGTTTGAAGCCACCTCAAACTTCCTGGGATGGGAAAGTGGCCGAGGTCACACCTGCAGCCCCTGCCCAGAGACCCATTCCCCTAGGGGCAACAACTTTGCAGGGGCCCTACACATAGGGTCCTCAAAGCTCCAGAGACCTGGGCAGAGGACTCTCCTTCTGACCCCTGGGTCTGCAGGGACCCAGGAGCTGTATTCTGTCACTTATGTGACCTACAGTTGCCTTGCCTGGCGTCACATCCGGTGCCCTCCAAGAACTTGCCACACCTGAAGCTCACAGCTGGCCCCACCCTAAAGTCCCATACATTGTGTGACAGTGTGTCTGAGACAGGTACACCTGTACCCTGAATCTAAAGGGTGACAACTCCATTCCCACAGCCAAGCCAAAAGTAGGCCAGGTCCCAAATTCAACTCAGGGTTGTCAATAGCCTAGACTGCCCCAAAACTCTGATGGCTTGGATATGAGGCCAAAGAATTAAGGGCTGCCTTGGTGACATGAGAGCACAAGTCCCAAGTCTTAGTTGAGGACATCTCTGGCCCTACCTTCCATTGCAGACACCTGTCCTCCCCGTCCGCTCACAGAGTCTGGTGTCAGAGTGAAACCTTCAGCCAGTGGCCCAGAGATAGAGCTTATCTTTGGCTGGTTTGCTGACACACTGGGCACACCCAGAAGCCCAGAAGTCAGATTAAGAGGTTAGTCTTTGGTGCCTTTTGGAAAGGTATGAAATCTACCATGGAAGCACTTGTCAGGACTCAGGAGCCTGTGGGAGGTTACCACCCCACTCTGCCAGACAGCCCTCCCACCCACCCATGAACACCCAACACTGTATTATCTTTAACCTTAGTGCCTGGCCTTGGCAGACTGCCCAGGTGAGGGACAGTTGAAGGTTCTCCACATGGGCACACGGGCACACTGGCCTCCTGGGACAGCCACCCTGTGCATTGTTCTCCTGGCACCCTCTTTCCTGTCAGGAGGTGTCGGGGGTGGGGGAGGGATCGAATCAGCTGTCTCTGAGGCTGTTCTGCTATCCCCAGAGAAACTGTAAGGCTGAACCGCATGAGGTTCCAACTTGGACATTCTCTGTATGGACTGGCATTCTTCACTGCCTGCAGCAAAGTTCTAACGTGGGGGCTTCTGTCACTGCCAGCACTCCTGGGCTGCCACTGTAGGCCCATTGTTGTTCTTGGGTGCCATTGAGTCGGTACTGACTCATAGCGACCTTACGCACAACAGAATGAAACACTGCCCGATCCTGGGCCAATCTCACTATTGTTGCCATGCTTGAGCCCACTGATGTTGCCACTTGGCCAATCCATCTCACTGGGGGTCTTCCTTTTTTTCTCTGACCCTCCACCTTACCAATATGTCCCTCCTGACAATATGTCTGAAGTATGAGAGATGAAGTTTGGCCATCCTGGCCTCCAAGGAGCACTCTGGCTGTACTTCTTCCAGCACAGATCTGTTGGTTCTTTTGGCAGCCCATGGCACTTTCAATATTCTCCTCCAACACCATAACTCAAAAGCATCAATTCTTATAAGGTCTTCCTTATTTATTGTCCAGCTTTCACATGCATATGAGGTTACTGAAAATACCATGGTGTACCTGAGTCTTCAAGCTAACATCCTTGCATTTCAACTCTTTAAAAAGGTCTCGTGCAGCAGATTTGCCTAATGCAATATGTCCAATGACATATTTCTTGACTGCTGCTTCCATAGTGTTGATAGTTGATCCAAGAAGAATGAAATCCTTGACAACATCTATCTTTTCTCCATTGATAAGAATGTTGTTTATTAGAGGGAGAGTGACTGTGTGCTGAAGACCTGGGGGGTACTGGGGAAGGATTGCATGGAGGGGATTGTAACCAGGGCAATGAGACGATATATGATAGAATGAATGTAAAACTAATGTTCTCCCACGTAAACTATCACATAATTCACAATAAAACATTTAAGAAAAAAAAGAATGTTGTTTATTGGTCCATTGGTGAGGATTTTTGTTTTCTTTACATTGAGATGCAATCCATACCAAAGGCTGTGCTCTTTGATATTCATCAGTAAATATTTTAAGTCTTCTTCACTTTCAACAAGCAATGTTGTATCTTCTGCATATTCCCTCTGCAGTTGGGGAAGCACTTGCTTATGCCCAGCTGCAAACCAAATGCTCTGTCCACAGCGTGTTGCTGTGATTCTGGAAGCTAGGTCACTGGTATTTTAAATACTAGTAGGGTCACCCAAAGTGGGCAGGTTTCAGATGAGCTTCCAGAGTAAGACAGACTAGGAGAGCCTGACTACTTCCGAATATTTAGTCACTGAAAACCTTGTGAATAGCAGTGGGACTCTGTCAGATAGCACCAGAATATTGACTATTGAAGCATGATGAAGAGCACCAGAGTGTTCAGATATAGTATTGGAAAATGAGTTTCCAACTCAGGTTAGAAGGCACTCAAAATACAACGGGGAAGAATTGTGTCCTCAAAGTAAAGTTGACCATGATGCGAATGAAGTAAAAGCTTTTATGATCTTCATTTGCTGATGGGGAACAACTCAAAATGTGGAGAAACATCTGCAAACATTCATTGATAATTGGAACACAGAATGTATGAAGTACGAATCCAGGAAAATTGTAAATTGTCAAAAGTGAAATGTAATGCATAAACATCAATATCCTAAATTATTAGTGAGCTGAAATGGACAGGTATTGGCCATTTTTAATCTGACTGGTATTGGGCATTTGAAATGGACTGGTATTCGTCCATTTACTATGCTGGGACTGACAAATTGAAGAGGAATGGTGTCGCATTTATCATCAAAAAGAACATTTCAAGATTTGTTTTCAAGTACAACACTGTCTGTGATAGGATAATATCCACATGCCTACAAGGAACACTAGTTAATACAACTACTATTCAAATTTACACACCAACCACTAAAGTTAGTGATGATGAAACTGAAGAATTCTATTAACTTCTTCAGTCTGAAATTGACCAAACATGCAGTCAAGACACATTGATAATTACTGGTGATTAGAATGCAAAGGTTGGAAACAAAAAGGACCGATCAGTCATTGCCCAGTGAAATACGTCTCGTGCAAAGCCTCTGCAGAGTATAGGACCTTAGGTGGAATCCTGCGTCCCATCCAGAACCTTATGAGGTGGGACATTCCCACTAGCAAGGACAAGCAGACCAGCCTGGAACAGCTAGAGCAACAGAAGATATATCTTCAAAGAAAGATCATCAGGAAAAATCCAAAATAAAAATGTCAGCATGATTGGCTACTACAAGAATAAGCAAGTTGTTTGCCAGGAAGCCATCAATGTAAGCAATCAAGTTCCTTCAGGGCAAACTCCCCTCTAAAACTGACACTCAAAGGGAACATATGAACAAGCATGTAAGCTTGCTGGCAACAACACTGGTGAGTGTTTAAGAGAGGGAAAGGCAGCAATGAAGAAATGGGCTGAGTTCAACCACAGTCCATTGACTCCCCGTTGACCTGGAGATGAGAGAGAGAAGAGGAAGGGCTGGTTGGTCCAAAGTGTGGTGAGACCTGGGAACACCTGGGCCCATGGACAAGGACATAGCCACAGAGGGCTGGAACTGAGAGTGAAGCATCCAACTGATATGAAATGAGGGGCGATACACAAGAACACCCAAACTTGCAGACAGTACTCATTTGACCTAGCCTCAACGGCTCGATAATCAGAACTCGACTAGAGGAAGATTACAAAAAAAAGAAATTCTTTTTGACAAAGGAAACAAGGGTAAATTGCTACAATTTGATGAATGTAACCTATACTCATTGAGGTAGTAACTCTAAATACCAACAGAGAGTGAAGGAGTCTTCACATCAAGTATCAATGCTATCCCCTCTGTAAACAGGGTAGATAGGGACGAGCAACTTAGACATTGGCTACCTAAAATGAGGGGGCAATAAAGGCACGAAGTAACTAGCTTACAAGGTTTCAAGAGGGAGTTTAGTTTAAGAGTATGGGGTGGGGGGTAGAGAAAGAGTCCCCACTGAATAGTTTTCATCTTGTCTAAATGAGTCTGGTTAAAAGAGATGGGGATAAGATTCGTATGATTCAATAGTGAATAATTGATATCATGACTAATTGTGACTGTCACAATCGTAAAGGTAGAAGTTTTGTAACAAAAACAGAGGAGTGGTTAATCTTACAGTACAGAAACAGAGGACCCTAGGACCATCAAGGGAGAAGAGCACAAGCAAAATGTGGGACCTTATCCAGAGATGCAGTGATGCCAGAGATGGAGGCAGAGATGGAGTCATGAAGAGGGGGAGCATCTGAGGACTCTAGATTTACGGGAAGTGAGGGACTAAGAGCTGGAGGCCAGGAGGCAGACTTGCAGAATGTGCCCTTTGTAGGTATAAATTATTATATATGCCTGAGTGGTTATTTATTTATTTAAAAAAAAAAAAAAAAGAATAGAGAGAAATATTGTTAACTGATGGTACAATTATAATCATTGTAATGAAACAAGGTGTATGATTTGTTGAATGTCAACTGATGATCTGCCCTATAAACTTTCACTCAATCCACAATAAAAACCTTAAAAAAATAAAAAATAAAATGACGTATTACATTAGGTAAATCTGCTGCACAAGACCTCTTTAAAGTAAGTGTTCAAGAGCAAAGATGTCAGTCTGAGGACTAAGGTGTGCCTGACCCAAGCAAAGGTATTATCATATGAAAGTTGGACAGTGAATAAAGAACACCGTGTAAGAATGTATGCGTTTGAGTTATGGTGTTGGAGAAGAATATTAAGAGTACCATGGATAGCCAGAGAACAAAGAAATCTGTATTGTAAGAAGTATGGCCACAATGCTCCTTAGAAGTTAGGGTGGCCAGACTTCATCTCTTATATGAATTATTAGGAGGGACCAGTTCCTGGAGAAGGACATCATGGTAGAGTGGAGGGTCAGCAAAAAAGAGGAAGACCCCCAACAAGATGGACTGGCACAGTGGCAGCAACAATGGGCTAAGCATGGCAACGATTGTGAAGTTGGCACGGAACTTGGCAGAGTTTCATTCTGTTGTGCACTATGAGTCAGTACCAACTGGATGGCAACTAACAGCAACATAGGATTTCTGAGAGCAGCTGATGGGTTTGAACTCTCGACCTTGCAGTTACCAGTCCAGTACATATCCTACAGTGTCATACCAGGGCTCTGTATTGCATGGTCAAGGGGTAAGCAAAAGTTACCATAGGCTGTCCTATGTCCTGCCCTTCCCAAGACTGTACCCATGCACAGCTTTGTCTGTTGACAAGTGTGGTCAACTCTCACTGGTATTCCTTTATGGCTGTCATCCCTATGAAAATGTCCTCCCCCTCAATACTCACTCTCTATCCCCATCATCCAGTGCTTTGTCCATCATCCAGGGGGTAGAACCAACAGGGGGCTGACCACACCACGACAGCTGTGGTGGTGCTGTAACCAGCCGCCGTGGGAGCCTACCCTCATGAGCCCTCCCAAGAGGCCTGATATCCAGTTTCTGTTTAGAGACCCCAGTGGCACCCTGGACACTCATAATTGTCATGGTCTGGTTACTGCCCAAGGAGCCCTAGTGGCACAGTGCTAGTGACATTGGGCTGCCAACCAAAAGGTTGGCAGTTCAAACCAACCAGCTGCTCTCTGTGAGAAAAATGAGGCTGTCTGCTTCTGTAAAGATTGAGTCTCAGAAACCTTAGGGAGCACACTCTGTCCTATAGAGTAGCTATGAATCTGAATCAACTGGACTGCAGTAGATCTATTGCTTGTCAATTACACCTCATTAATGCAAGCCAAAACACTTAACAACAATGACAACAAAAGCGATTTAAGGAACCCTGGTGAGACAGTGGGTTAAGTGTTGGGCTGCTGCTAACTGAAAGACTCTTTGGTGAAAGATAAGGCAGTGGTCTCCCATAAAGATTTATAATCTTGGAAACCCTACAGGGCAGTTCTATTTTGTCCTATGGGGTCGTTATGGGTCAGAATTGACTTGATGGCAGAAGGTTTGGTTGTTCTAGTTTTAGGATTTATGTATCTCCGTGGCTCCATTGCCCCATTCTCCCTCCCCACCCCAGCACAGCATGGCCTGCCTGCAGTGGGGCTCAGCTAGCATCCTTCATTCAGCCCCTGCCTGTCAAGTGCTGAGCGCCTACTACAGGCCGTGGCTAGTGGCTTGGGGACTTAGGAGGTGGCAGGTCCGGCCGACTATTGCTGAAATTGGGCTGACCGGTGCCTTAAGAGTGCTTTAACAGGAGCCTGCCCTGCAGGGTTGGGCATGAGCCCTCTCGAGTGACCTGGTGGCACTAAGGAGGCATCAGCTGCAGAGGGCACAGGTCCCTTTATCACGGGGCCTCAGACCAGAGCCCCGATTTGTGTTCCCACAGGGGGAAACGAACGGCGGGGCGGCTGGCGGCAGTTCCGCGCCGACGTCCCCCACGCACGAACGTCCCCCACGCATACATCCCCGGTCGCGCGCCCTACCTGCCGCGGTCCCCGCTGCACCCCGCGCGCGCCACAGAAAGCGCCCGCCGCGTCCCCAGAGCGCCGCCGCCATCGCCGCCACCTCCGCCATGGTGGCTCGGGCCCTTGCGGCGGCCGGGGCTGCCCGGGGCTCTGCCTGCGCCGGCCCGGGAGTGCTGGCGGGACCAGGACGCGGCGGATGTGCGGCTGGCGGCTCGGTGAGTACGCAGGGCCCTCGCCAGACGACCTGCGGGTGTCGGGGACGCGCTCGGGCAGAGCTTCCACCCCGGGCAGGGCTGCTGCGGGAGGGTCACACCCGGACCTAGGGCTGAAGGCAGACCCCCAGATGGGAGGCTCTGTGGAGCCCAAGGCCCTAGGGGCCCAAAGATCTCCCTAACCGATTCCTCCTTGGAGGCCGTGGGGTGGCCCTTAGGGGCCTTTTCGGTCAAGGAAGGGCCGTCCCCCTGGAAGGCGGGGTCTGGGTAGTGGGCAGGAGCCTCACTTGGGAATGATTCAGAAAAAGGGCGATGACCCCAGTATTCTTGGGCCAGTACTTCGGGTTTTTCCAGCTAGGGGCTTTGTGCTTTTGCATTTTAAATACGAGCCTCCCAGCCTGAGAAGCTTGTCTGCCCCTGCCGCCTTCTCGAGGTCCCTTCGAGGGGCTCTGGCCTTGGGGCCCCCCTGGTTTTTGAGGATCCAGACGCCTAAGGTTAGATTCAGCTCGTACATGCCGGGCTCTGTCTAAGATGGGGGATGGGAGGTGGGCTGCGGCCCTTAGGCAGGGTGGGAACTGGACGTGCTCTGGGCTCTGCAAGGGGACCACTCTGGTCAGGAGCTGCCCTTGAGGGGTCCTGGCTAGGCAGGTCCTCAGAAGAAGGAATAACCTCCCAGCTCCCACGCACAGAGGAGACTCCAGTTCTGGCTGGAGAGACCATTCCGTAGGGCACATGCCAATCTCCCCTCCTTGGAAGGTTTTCCCAGGCCCCCTGCTCCCCAAAGGCACCCCCTTCCACTCTGTCCTCTCTCCGGAGTTCTTGGCCATCCGCTCTCTTTTGTCCCTCAAACCTCTGGGGAATCAGTTTTGTCTGCAAAACAAGTGTGTGGGAGGCCCTGCTCCTTGGAGTGACTGTGATGGCAGTCACAGCAATTCCTGGCAGCGCCTGGCATGCAGGCGTTATGCAGTATGTGAAAGACCTTCCCCTGTGCCTGGGGTGGAGGGGCATCTTTTTGAGATTAGAGCTGTGTGAGTTCAGATTTCTTGTTCCATGTTGGCTCGGAGCAGCTGGCAGGAGGCTGCAGGCAGAGTATGAGTCAAGCAAGCAGGGCTGATCTATTATTTTTCTGACTCTAGCTGCTCTCTGCCCTGGGCCTCAAACCTACAACCTTGATACCAGCATTCTCCTGTCCATACCAGTCCTGCCCAGACCTGTGTCTGCACTAGTGTCCTAGTGCCCTTGGGGCAGCATTTCTCCTCCTCCAAACTTCAGGAGGGGATAGAGTGAATCACTGACAGCATCAGCCCAAAGCCCCCCACCTTTTTTATTTCAACCAGATCTGACACTAGTCTCTATTGTTCTCCTGGGTTTGATCATTTGTTGCAGTGGCTACACTCATAGACCCTGCTCATGATTATGGGGTTTATTAGGGAAGTTGTTAAGTGCCTCAGAGTCAGTTCCAACTCATAGCAACCCTGTATAGCGTTTCCAAGGAGCAGGTGATAGGTTTGAACTGCTGACCTTGTGGTTAGCAGTTCAGTGCTTAAACTACAGCGCCATACCATTAAGGAAATTGTTGTTGTTAAGTGCCATGGAGTCAGTTCAATTCAGGATCAGAAATGACTAGGATACAGTTCGTTCAGGACAGCCTCTTCTCAGCTGTGCTCACAGGCAGACCTCTCTCTGACCTTCAGTCCCTCAGCTCAGCCTCTGCCCTGTTTGGGCAAGTGTTATAAAGCCCTCTGCTGTTAAGTGCCATCGAGTCGGTCCCCAGGAACAGCTGGTAAGTTTGAATCACCAACCTTGAGTTAGCAGTCTAGTGTTTAGCCTACAATGCTGGAATAAAGCTTTCTAATGCCACCAATAAATGTCTAGAGGCACCTTACTGTGCTCAACTCTCTTTGTGGGTTGGCAAATCTAGCTTCACGGAGTAGCAAACCGACTGTCATTGAGTCAGTTCTGACTCATGGCAACCATACAGGACAGAGTAGAACTGCTCCTTAAGGTTTCCAAGACTGTACATTTTTACAGAAGCAAACTGCCTCATCTGTCTCCTTAGGAGTGGCTTGTGGACTTGAACCTCTAACCTGAGGTTGGCAGCCAAACACTTAACCCACTGCGCCAAATTCAGGCATAGTAAAGCCAACTGCAGAGCTATCTCACTTATCCAGAAGTCTGTGCAATACTGACTTCAGCAAAGTAGAGCCTCACCAAGAAATAAGATGGACGTCTAAGAGTACCCAAAAAACCAAATTCACTGCAGTTGTGTCAATTCCAAATCCTAATGATGTTATAGGACAGAGTCGGACTGCTCCATAGGGTTTCTAGGGCTATAAATCTGTACAAGGGAATGGGTTATGCATTGGGTTGTTAACTCACTTCTCTGTGGGAGAAAGATGATGCTTTCTGCTCCTGTAAAGATTTACAGCCTTGGAAACCCTACACAGGGTCAATATGCGTTAAAATAAAATGTCAAAGGGCAGCTGGAGAAGACAAAACCAAGTATTATAATGAAATGTACAAAGACCTAGAGTTAGAAACTAAAAGAGAAGAACATGCTCAACATTTTTCAAGCTGAAAGACTGAAACAAAAATTCAAGCCTCAGGTTGTAATACTGAAGTAGGATAAGCACTGGACTGTGAACCACAAGGTCTACAGTTCAAACCCACCAGCTGCACCTTGGAAACCCTGTACAAGGTCCCTATGGGTCAGAATCAACTCGATGGCACTTAATAACAACATGAGCAAAATACTGAAAGACTAAGAGGCTTCAAAAGAAAATGGGATAAACAAACTGTGGTACATACACACCATGCTACCTTGAATAATAACAGGGAGGCTGCAAGGCGCTGCATAACATGGATGAACCTTGAGGACATTATATTGAGTGAAATTAGTCAGTCACAAAAGGAGAAATATTGCA